GGAGGTGAATGGGGGAATTATATAGGCTCTTTAAGAAGGGATTCTGAGCTCTAAAAATGATGTGAGATACAAAATCATATACAGATAGGATCAACAGTTCAGTAGGAGACCAAAAAAGAGAAAAATGTCACCTCGAAAAACCAAGACCACGGAGCCGATCCAACCATGTCTTGGCCTGAGAAAATGGAGTTTTGGCTGATATGGCCATGTTCCCCTGTTTGACGCTATTTTATGTTTTTTTGCAGACTCTAGGCAATGGATTTCTTTTTTTTTGAAAAGGGTCTTGGGCTTGGGCCACTCAATTATTCTGAAAAGTAGTGTATTTGAATAATAAAATAAGCCAAAATAAATTAGAAAAAGCCTGGTTCAATTCTAGTCTGTAGGTTTTGTGAAAAGATCATTTTATCCTCATTTATCAATATCCATCAATGGCTCTGATACCAATGTAAATCAAAGTATAAAACATGCAGCGGAATAAAATGTTTAGATCATACCTTTTTTGATGATAGTACCTCGTGGATAAATCATGTGCTCCCTGAATCTAGTCAATCAACCCAACAGTGAAGTGATATTACAATATTGAATATCACCCACACAAACCACAGTGCAAATGGCTTTGATCGTTATTTTGGGAGAGAGTCAGTATCTTGGAAAAAAAAAAAACAAACATACGTTGTTTTTCCACGTAATCACCCATATCCCATATATCAGATATATAAGCTATTTATCTCATTTATCCATTGGTTAAATGACATAATATCTGATATCTATATCATCTATCCATATCATGATATGATAGATAGATATCCTGAGTGGCTATCCAAATAGGTTTGAATTCAAATTCAAAACCCATTTGGATGAGGTTCAAAAGGTTCTAAGGGTCATGCCACATGGGCGCCCAATTTCTAACATCAACCATCAAAAAAAAGTGAAGGGTTTCATGTTATTACCATTTCTTTTCTTTTCTTACCAACCCCTTCCACCCAAACAGATTATAAGTGTAGAGTAATCCTTGTGAACTCGGATTTGAATTCATGAATAAATAATACTGGAGGTGAATGGGGGAATTATATAGGCTCTTTAAGAAGGGATTCTGAGCTCTAAAAATGATGTGAGATACAAAATCATATACAGATAGGATCAACAGTTCAGTAGGAGACCAAAAAAGAGAAAAATGTCACCTCGAAAAACCAAGACCACGGAGCCGATCCAACCATGTCTTGGCCTGAGAAAATGGAGTTTTGGCTGATATGGCCATGTTCCCCTGTTTGACGCTATTTTATGTTTTTTTGCAGACTCTAGGCAATGGATTTCTTTTTTTTTGAAAAGGGTCTTGGGCTTGGGCCACTCAATTATTCTGAAAAGTAGTGTATTTGAATAATAAAATAAGCCAAAATAAATTAGAAAAAGCCTGGTTCAATTCTAGTCTGTAGGTTTTGTGAAAAGATCATTTTATCCTCATTTATCAAATATTGACAAATGATTAGAAAGTGACTACCAAATCTTCATTTTAAATAGGATTTTGACGAATTTGGAAAATTCTAAGGTTTTTAATATAAAATGACGTGGAAAAGACTATCCATTTCTAGACCTAGGGTCAAGCTTGAATAGAAATGAATTGCACCTCAAGGGTCCAATGTGGTTTAAATTGGGTAAGAATAGGTCGTTAGGGATGTTTGGATGGTGAAAGTCAATCTCAGTGCATTCAATCTCGGGTTAGAGTTGTCAAATAAGAGGTTTTCAATTTACTCTTGAGTTCATCATAGGTAATGTTTCCTAAGCAGAGCCAAGAATTATAGATAGTCAAAATAGGGTGTCTACGTTGAACCGAGTTCTTTGGTAATGATGAACTAGTTCTTGGAGAATGAAGTCATATAATGGTTTTTTGAACATTAAAACAAAACCGCTTCAGTTTTTATAACCTTAAATTTTTGTCACGACCTATGTGGGAAATCGAAAAAAATATCTATGCACGTGATATGGTGGATCTAGTAGACTTTCAAAACAAAAGATTATTTGACTGATAATCATTGGTTAATGGCTATATTGAAATATGACATGTCAAGCCAGTTATGCTTTACACATACTGTCCTCAGGTTTGGATTTTACAACCAGTTTTTTCAATCCATTTCACAAGTTGGTTTTTTTTTTTTTAATTTATTTTTTATATTTTATTATTAGCAAAAAGAAAGATTTATTGATGAAAATCCAATGTACAAAGCAAACACTGTGACTTGTCACATCAATAACAAAATGTCTAGTGTACCGAGCATGAAAACAAAGATTTCCAATCTCAACTTAGTTGGAACCGAAAAAAACCCCAGCCATGTGCTAGCCCTGAACCAAAGATTGGTGAGGAACCAACCAAAGAACAAAACAATGAAACAACCAATCTCATGACATACTACCATAATACATCATAACCAATTCAGGTAAACCATAATGACCACAAGGAAGCCATCTCCTTCATTGTAAGCAATGAAATCCAATCAGGAGGAATTCAATAACAACCTCATCCTTAAAGACAATGGCAAATGCAGAGACATAATAACAACAACAAAACATCCTAAAATTTCCAATTCGAAGCACAAATTCACCAAGCCATTCGAACTCACTGAAGCAGCAACTGTAGGAACCAATAGTAACTGAGCACAACTTCAACATTTTTCTTTTTAATCAGCAAAACAAGAAACTTTATTGATAGAGAATCGAGGTAAAACCTTACATCTTACATCAATAAATGAATAGGAAACTGAAAATACCAACAACAACTAGATACATGCTATAAGCATCAAAGAAAAAGTTTAGATCCCAACTAGGTTGACACCAAAACCTCTGCCCAAAGTAAATGTTTACATCCCAACTAGGTTGGCACCAAAACCTCTGCCCAATCATCTACAGCATTATCCATTCTACCAGTTGATGAGAACTCAACCAAATAGGAAAAACAACAACACAATCAAAAGTGTAAAATTAGCAAACAACCACAATATTACAAAGCCCACACCTAGTCTGTAGCACAACCACAGAACTGCAGCAGCTGAGGATCAAAAGCAACATAGTGTAGCAATAACATCTATCCACACATCAGTAAATATACTCAGCTACCCCTTATGCACTCCAACCTGTAGGCTATGTCCTTAACTGAGTAATGTATATTTTTACGATTATACTTCACCCAAAGAGCTAAATTAACTTTGATGGATTCACTTAAGCTCTCCCAATTAACATTCTTTCACTCAAACTTATAGGCACTCCTAGCTTTCCAGATATTCCACATTATAAAAGATGAAGCAGCTTCCCAAACCAGCTTATCTGCACCCTTAAGCTTAACTCCATTCGACCATGTCAATAGATTTCTAATGGAGCTAGGTAATACCCATTGTACACCACACCAAGAAAATATCTCAGCCAAAATTTTCCAGACACACCCACAATGGAGCAATACATGGTCCCCTAAATCAGCTTCAGCCTTACAAAAAATGCATAATGTATAAAGCATTATGATCTAATACACCTATATTTTTTAGGAACACATCTGTTTTTGCCAACCAATTAATAAATTACATCTTAGGAGGGGAAATATTCTTCCAGATCAAAACATGTGCCTTGACCACAGACATAATTTAAATTCAACCATTGGTAAGCATTCTTAACAGAAGACAACCAACTTGAATTGATTTGGATTTAGCTTCAGCCTTGCAAAAAATGCATAATGCACAAGCATTATGGTCTAATACACCTATATTTTTTTAGGAACACAGCTGCTTTTGCCAACCAACTAATAAATTGCATCTTAGGAGGGGAAATGTTCTTCCAGATCAAACCTTGACCACAGACCCCTAATTTGAATTCAACCATTGATAAGCATTCTTAACGGAAAGCAACCGACTAGCGTCACCCATTGGAGTAGCGACAAAAGAAAAAGTTTCAAGTCTACTGATAGTAATTTCTGGTGGCCACTATTATTAATAACACTGGTTAGTTGCGACCCATGATATATTGTCGCAAAAAAAAAAAAAAAAACTATTTCGGATTGTCATTATTAAAAAAATATAAATAAATAAATATAATAAGTTAATCATATGAATACCTCTTAACTCCTAGCTATAAAATTATATCGCTCTCACTCCTTTATTTGTACAGTTTTTTCGTAGTTGACGGGATTAAAAGTACAATTTCATAGAATCAAAATGATATTAAGTGATTGTTGAGAGGATGTAAGTATAATGTATCTCTTCTCTCTTCTTTTTTTCTTTTTTTTTTCTAGCAAGTAAATGCTTATGTAAACAACATATTTGTCCATCCATTATTCTTCTTTTAGCTATACGCACATTATATAATAACTTGTTGGCATATATCCCCCTATATCTTATGATCAAAGTATGGTTTTAAGAAACAGTGGTGGCCTCCATAACAATAATGGCAACACGATATAGTTGTGGGGTGTATTGGTATATCATAACAATGGATAACTTCCCTGTTGTTATGAATATATATGAAGGCTATTTAATACTAACAATGATAGTCTCGTGAACATATGTTCATAATACAAAATTTCAACATGCTAATATAAAAATAGATAACATGATATCCAAGTTTTGTTTGACAAATTTAACCTAAATCCAAATAAACATGCATTAGTAATAAAAAAGTCAAGTAGAAAGGAATGGAATTTTGATGATGAGAGAGAGAGAGAGAGAGCTATGTATGATCATCTAATCTTGGTAGTAAAATACATCTTCTAGAACCAGAAAATTAGACACTTAAAGGAGATAGATCTAAGATTTCTGCATAAATATTATATGCATTTTTTGGTATTTGAATAGCTTAAAGAAAGAAAAACGAGAAAAGTGATCACATTCATATATAGAAAATTTCTTGAAACAGAAATGTAACGGTTGTGTAATAGCTGTAACGATATTGCAGTAGTACTAAGATTGTGAATTTCAATCATCCAGGTATAGTGTCATAATGGATGGTGGTAAACGTTGAAACCATTACATAACATCGGCCCACTTTTTAAATTATGGATCAAGGTCATACTAGAACAAGTGAATGTGATGACCACATGACATTGTACAAGATTTAAGCATTGGTTTGACTGAAAAATAGTACCCTTACGTTGAGCCTTATGTTGAAAGTATCTACTATCATATAAAGAACATAGGAAGGTGACAAGGAAAAACATTCCAAATTTTAAGTAGATTTGTACTAGCTTGAGCATGCAGTTGCAATGGCAAAAAGAGGAATCCTTTTGTGGATTGTGACGCCAGGGCATTCAGTGATGTCCAAATCCTCAGCTTTTGCTCCACCTGGTAATTGCCAATCAAACTTGTTCACCAGATTTGCTAACACCAGCTCATTAACAGCCATTGCGAACGAGATTCCTGGGCAACCCCTCCTTCCAGCACCAAATGGAATGAATTGGAAGTCCAACCCTTTGTAATCAATAGGAGAATTTAAGAACCTCTCTGGCCTAAACTCCTCTGCTTCATCCCATACAACAGGGTCTCTCCCAATTGCCCAAGCATTGGTGATAACCATTGTTCCAGCAGAAACATCATATCCCATTACTTTGACATCATGCCTTGCTTCCCTTGCAACTAGTAATGGAATCGGAGGATGAAAACGTAAAGTTTCTTTAATCATGGCTCTCAAGTAGTGCATTTTTTCCAAATCTTCATCAGTTATGTCCTTTTTTTGTCCAAGAACCTCCCTCACCTCAGTCTGCACTTTCTTCATGATTTGAGTGTGTCTTAACAGCTCTGTCATTGCCCACTCTAGAAGCGTAGAGGTAGTATCAGTTCCAGCTGCAAAGGTAGTCTGCAAGAAATTATATATGATAAATAACAAATCTGTTAATCAAATTAGTGGAACAATTCTTAATACTATTGGAGTTCAGCATGAAGCTTCAGTACTGCACGGTCTACTTTTTGACTCACTACCTTCAAATTCTATAATAAAAGAAAAAAGAATATATATATATATATAATTAATTATTGGACATTCAATCCTTTTCTTTGAACTAAAAAACTAAAAATTATGAAACTTGGCTTTTAATCATTATTTTGTATATAGTGAAGAATATGGAAAAACTTTATGAAGAGACTCCAGTTCTACTGCAAATACAAAAACTAATTATAGAACTGGACACAAAACACATATGAATTGATCAGATTTTTTATAGGGTTGTGGGTGGAGTATGTTTTGTATCGGGTTTCTGTGTTGGTAGACTTATTGAGAGATTCACATATGCTAGTAGAATGGTAAAAAAATGCAGGGAGAGAGATGGAGAGCCTGACCAAAATAAGAGCTTTGATGCTATCTCTATCGATAGGAACACCAGCACTGTTTTCTTTGTATATGTGAAGCAAACTATCAAGAAAGTCCTCCCTGCCTGTATATCCATCTTGACCACCATTACTATTATAGATCTCTGTTTCCAAACCATTCAAGCGCTCTTCAACTACACCCTCAAGAAATTCATCAAGTTCTGTGGCCACCCTCCCTACTTCAACATCGAATCCATTGACTCGGCTAAGCCAACCGAGCCATGGAAATAACTTCCCAACGTCGAATCGGCTTAATAGCCCTAAATAGTCCTTCAATAGCTGTTTGAACTTCTTTCCACTTTCCCCACCACCATACTTCCTTCCAAAAGCTGCCTTGCTTATCACATCATTTGTAAGTGATGTAAACATTTCACTTAAATTCACCGGCAATGACAAACTAGACAGCTCAGTAATCTTGTTCATCATGTCGGCTATTTCTTCTACTCTCACACTATGAAAAGACTGAACTCTCTTATTACTCAGAAGCTGGAGCACCATAATACTTTTCAACTGCCTCCAAAGTTCACCATAAGGTGCCACTGATACTGCCTTGCAGTCATACATGAGTCTCTTGAAGATTCTTGATTTGGGCCTGTTTGCGAAGATGAGATCATGGTTTTTCATGATCTCAGAAGCTGCATCAGCAGAGGAAATGACTAGTGCAGGTACATTGCCTAGGTGAAGCAGCATGATCGGCCCATGTTTTCTAGCTAAGGATTGGAGTGAGCGATGCTTCAACAAGCCCAATTGGTGTAAGTTTCCTATAATTGGGAGCTTTGGTGGTGAAGGTGGTCGATTTTTTCTGTTAGTTGGACTGTTAAAGTGCCATTTGATAAAGAGGAGGAACACCAAGAATATGGAAAGAAAATAAAGCGAAAAGGGGTTCAACAAGAAGGAAGGTCCTTGTTGCTCTAACAATTGTAGAAATCTATACATTTTCATATGCATGCATTTAGTAAAACTGAATTCAGAAGACATTTTTATCTTATCAAATTCTTTACATATATGTATCGGTAATATGCGGGTCTGTCCAAACTAAGAAGAGAAATACGAGGAGATACCCCAATTGATAGCACATCAGCACATGCTGCTCTTCAGTCAATTGAATTCGAATAGTATGAAAAGCCGTAAGAGGCACAACTAGACTCCAATTATGTACAGAGAAGTTGAATCCTTTATATCATGTAATAGAGCTAATGTCCTTTTGAGGCAATGTCACCATGCCAGCACTAGAAGTTTTTTCAAGTATTAGGTTGTATTTAGATTATGAATTTATATAGAAATTTGTAAAAAAAATAAATTAAAACATGCTACATATATTGATATCTTTTATTATATTTTCTCACATCTAGATACAAGTGAGTGAATGAGTTTCGTAAGAGGTTACGGGTGCCAACACTATAGAAGACAGGAAATTAGTCCAAGTGCGCGTAAACTGACCGGACACCTGATTATAAAAAAACAAAAAAATAATATAAAATAATAAAAAATGGATGACAAAGCAATGGCTAACAATTAATGTATGGAAGGACTCCAAATTATAATATTATACATATAAAAATTATTGTAGTAGAGATAATTATGCACATAAAGAATCTTTTGCCGTATGATGAAAATAAAAAATTATGATTGATGTCACATTGAATGTCAATATAGTTGGAATATAATATTTTAACAATGATGCAGTTTTCTCTAAAGCTTTTTCCTTTATTAATAAAATTTTATTTATTTGCTAATAAAATATAAATAAGTAACTAAGAGTAGCTATCTGTGTAGCAAACCATCCAATCAAAAAGAACTTTCTTTCAAATTTTTTGCCGTCTAAAGATTCTCATTTGCTGTTGGCAACAAAGATTGCATATATATAACTAAGGCCTCTTTTGTTGCTACCGATGGCGACAATTGCATATGTAAAAGGGCCGGCCTAGTTGTGTGTAGATTCAAGATTAGATAAGCCTTCTTAGCATATGTATGATTAATTATTGAATACTATTCACAAGACTAATACTAGGCATTATTAGAGATATTGTCGCATTTCTTCCCCTTCCTTGTTGCAATTCTCTTATAATAATTTAGTAGTAGCTTTCTATAGCTGCAATATATTTCCCTTCTCTCTTGTTTTCTTCTTCTAGTCAAACGATTCCTAGAACACAATATATTGAAAACCTTGAAATTAAGCCATGCAACAACCGTAAATACTACTGATGTGCTCTCATCTTGAACCCCAACAAAAAAAAAAAAAACTTGGATTGGTTTGGTTTGGTTTTAACAATTTATTTTTAAAACATTTTTGAAAAAAAAAAATTCGGTGAAAAGATTAATAAATTTATTTTATTTTATTTTTTTGGGTTGGGGGGGGGATAAAAATAATTTTTTTAAATTTTAAATTATCTTTTTATTGTTTATTTTTTTTTTTCAAATTAATTTTAATTCTTAAAGAAAATCACAAAATTGATTATGAAATGAAAACCAAACATTAACTTTGGAAAAAGAGCAGGGCTTCAAATTCTAAATAAAAAAATAAGACTTCATTTCATTAGGGTTGTGTAAAATACTACTCAATCTGTTAAAATTGCACTGATCCACATCAATCCACACCGCTTTATCCACTAACTAAAGATTAAACTTTAAAATTTATAATCCGCATTCGAAATCACTCCGCTCCGCTATACTTAATACATATATATTTTTTAATCTCTAGTGAAATATTAAAGTAAAAATGAGTGTAAAAAAGATTTAAGATGTGAAATTTGTTATAAATTATTAGTTATATATATGAAACATATTCTATAAAATTTGTTTGTATTACATATATGAAAAATATTATGCAAATTAGTATTATATATTATGTAAATACTTGATAATTGGTTATAATATTCTTCAATCTGTCAATTAGCTCAAAACCACCCAAACCGTGATTTGCCAATTCATCGATCCGCCAATCCATCATTTGATTTATAATTTTATTCTCAAACCGCGTGAGCCGCACCGCGAACACCCTTACATTGCATAATGTTACATTACAGTTTCCTTTTTTTGTTTTTAATTTAAAAGGTCTTCGAAATTACAAACAAAAACGCAGATTGATAATTATTTTTATTTTTGAAAAAGTCAGAACAATTTTTGAAAATTTGAAAAATTTTAGAATTAAACTATATAAAAGTAAGTAGTTTTTTTTTTTTGAAAACAAGTTTTAATTATCTGCTCCCTCTTCTGCCACCTTCGATCACTGCCCATTGCCAAAGAACTAGATGGATGTATGTTATATATATATATATATTAAAGAAAATGAGATTTCTAATAAGAAGAGCCTTCTGAAACTCACAACTGTCATGCTATTTTTGTAGATTTTTTATTTTTTAAATAATTAAAAAAATCTTCTACTGGCTAGCTTTTATTAGCTTTTATGGAATCATTTAAAAAAAAAATTTCTTATTATGTCTTGATTTACACATTTTTAAAGGAAAGTTAATTAATCCATTTAAAAATTTAAATTTAGAAATTTGAAAAAGAAAATTAACTAATCAATTTTAAAGTTTAATTTTTTTTACCACTAAAATATAGGAACCAATTCACATCTTCCATCATCTTCCATAGATTTTTTCTCTTGATGTCTAATAGTTTTATTTGCAACGACATTCCAATCTATATATCTATATTATAGAAAAGAGACGTTTCATTAATAAAGGCAGTGAAAGCTTCAAAATTTCATCTGAAAATTTTAAATTTTAGTAATTAAATAAAACATAAAAAAATTATTGGTTGTTATCCTATCCTAAAAAATTTCATAACCAATTAACCAATCTCACCAAAAGATTTTTACAAGATTATTGATCCATGATCCCTATAATTTTTGTAACGCCCCAAAATAAACACAATATACTTATCTCATAACAACTAATAAATAGCAACATAAATGGAATTATGAGCTTTCATTAATCAGAGCTCGATATAAAAAAAGGTGACATATGCGATATACATTTATAAACGGTACATCATAAATTTATAGCATGTGTTCCAAGATAGTGAAAAGAAGTGAAGGCTAAATAGATAACCATATGCCCTAATGACTTACATCTTTTCAAGTCAATGTTTGAGTACATCAAAAGTGAGTCTCAAACTCAATACAAATAAAGCCCTATGCTTGTACAAAATTTAAATACAAGATAACAATAATGTGCCTTTAGCTCCACAATCCTCCCAAGCTAAGCCCTTGGCTCATATCACCAGTACCTGAAAATAGTTTCCTCATATAGGGTGAGCCAAAACCTAGTAGAAATACTACAACACAATGTATAAATCATGTCAATGCCATAAGGTGAATGTATATGCAATGTCTCTGCCAAAACGTTTTACATTTATTTTCAAAATCATACCATGCCAAGTTTATATAACAATTCTCAAAATCATGTCTTTTACCATAGAAAACAGGGGGAGATCTCAAACCAATACAACATTTCACGGATATTTCGTCCGTGGGAAACTGTCAAACGATACCTATGTAAACGTAGCTTATATAAACACTACTATTTCCATTTTATTGATATTCCGTCCGTGAGAATCGGCACCCATGTATACGCGTGTTTTTCAGAACTTTTACCTTGGACACTCAGGGTAACTTGATTTGGTGATACACACTTCTTTCCAACGTTCACCACAGTTTCTCAAAATCATATACATTTTCAATGTATTAAATAAGCAACAATGTTCAATACACATTGATGAGAAATTAGTTCTAGTTCACTTAATTCTCATGCAATTTCTACAACACTCATAGTTATCCTCAACCGATAGCCTAAAACAAATATCTCTAAACAGATAAATAAATTTTATTAAAGATACACTTTTCCAAAACGTCAAATGGGAGTGATAATTCATATCTAACTCTACCCTCATCATCAATATCTATTTAATTTTACAATTTCCAATATCAAGTTCACTTTACAATCTCAACATTTACATTTTAGGAAAAAATCCCTCTCTTTAAAAATCCATTTCAACGTAAGAAAAATCTCATTTCAACATATATCAACCCCAAATTTATACTCACAACCTTTTTCAAGAAACCATTTGAAAACCCCTCTTTTCCATTTTGATTTTAAACCCTAGGTTTTTGCCAAAAACCCCCAAACCACCATAATCCTTTGAAATAGCAAATAGCAAAGATAAAACCCATACTAGAGAGTGGAGAATCCCTATCTCGAAGCTAGAAGGCTAAGGAGAGAGTGAAGAAACCTCGAAAAAGCCGAAATCCACTTTTGTTCGGATGAAGATAGAGCCCACGGAATGTTCTACCTTTTTTAACAAGAGGAGTAGGGTGAAGAAATCACTAGATCTTGGTGTTTTTGTGAAGAGAAGGTAAGTTTTGGAGAGAAAGTGTCTAGATCTAAGGTTTTTAGAGTGTTTAGAAAGAGAGAGAGAGAGAGAGTGAAATGAAAAGGTGACCTAAAAAGGTGGTTCTGCAATCTGATATACGCACAGACCGCTCGAGTGCAAGAAGTGACGCTCGAGTGTCCAGACACAAAAATCATTATCACTCGAGTGCAAGAAATGATGCTTGAGCGTCAAGACACAAGGAAAAAGGCATCACCGCTTGAGCGCCATAAGTGACGCTTGAGCGGAAAATACAAACTCTCAAAAATTTTGCAAACCTACCAAAGTACTGGGAGTTGCCAAAGATCGCTCGAGCACAAGAAGCTATGCTCGAGCGTAAAAGCCAAATTCTTGAAAAACAAGCTACCAACCTGTTCCAAACACAACCAATACAACCCAATAGCCAAACTCAAAGAGGTATAAGGGAAACAAGACATGAATAAATATAAAAGACAACGAAACCGGGATCTAAAACATACAATGGGTCGGGTCTAAGCCAGAAACACTATAACCTTTCCTCCTTAAGGAATTTTGTCCTCGAAATTTAAACCAAACATCAAAACCAAGTTTAAACCAATTACACAATAATAGTAATTTAAATTCATCACCATGACCTATCTACATCCATTCTCATTAACAAGGTAAATATATGCTCATTACTGAATATACAATCCACATTCCCAAAACATATACAATGTTTTATATTATATTAACATAACAAAGTTTTCAATACATGCTCAAAGATCAACAAATAGGTCCGGATACTTCTCACGGACTTCTGCCTCACGCTCTCAAGTAGCCTCCTCAACCCCATGGTGTCCTCACAACACCTTAGCTAATAGAAACATCTCTCTTC